GTTGACCAGAGGTATGTTCTGGCTACCTCTCCAGTTAGCGCATATTTTTTTTTTCAGATGCCAAAAATTGCCTCCAGAATAAAAACCTTCTCAAGGCTCCAGCTTTCACTGAAATTAGTCCATACCAAGGAAAGTGTAACACAACTACATAATGTAAAAGAATACACAAATACATTTGAGGTACAATAGATTCTTAGAAAGAACCAGAAAAATGAACCAACCTTCATTCTTTTTGCACTCAACTGTATCTGTGGGTAAATTATATATTTTTAGACCTCTTTGGGATATTTTAAGTGTAGGCAATAAAAACTGCAGAATAGGCCAAAACCAGTGTTCCCCCAATATATTTGCTCTCAATTTCTAAGTTTGGTGATGGAATTGTACATCCATCATATGCATAAAACAAACTTACAATAAAAAAAGGGATCAGATCCAAAAAATGAACAGTTAAATATAATCTGAATTAGAATACACTAAAATCTTGGCCCAGGAAGTTCAGCATATTCTAAATATGAGTTTAGATCATATTTATTCATTCATTTTTTGGACCTGATCCCTTTTTCTATTGTAAGTTTGTTTTATGCATATGATGGATGTACAATTCCATCACCAAACTTAGAAATTGAGAGCAAATATATTGAGGGAACACTGGTTTTGGCCTATTCTGCAGTTTTTATTGCCTACACTTAAAATATCCCAAAGAGGTCTAAAAATATATAATTTACCCACGGATACCTGCGGATAGTCCGGGTAGTTACCCGAATCCATCACTTGAGCCCAAATATGGGTGGATTTCGGGTTTACCCGGGATTAGCCTATCCGTGACAGTCCCTAGTCTAATCTTCATCAAATTTTTGTCTAATGTTTTAATCAATCACAATTTACTGACAAAACAGTTAGAGACCAGTTCTTGACACCAATGGGTATGCTGTGTGACCTGATTTCAAAACTCAAATCATCTTGATGCTTTCGACACATCAGACACTCTAAACAGATGCCTGTGTGGTGTGGTATTGCACTCAGGATGCAATGGCTTGGTAAAATGGTTGGATGTGAGACTCAACAGGTGAGTATCAGTCTTGCACAAGTTAATCACTACACTCACTTATTTTTTAGTACCACCTACAATGTGTTGCATTGGAGATAGCCCCACGAAATTGGGTATGCGAAGCCTTAGAGGATCAGAGCGATCATGATGATGATGTCATATTTCCATATATAGGCATGTGCCTGATTACATAGGTAGGTAGGTCAAGCACACAGGGCCTTACAAAAAAATTCGACCCCAGCTACTTTTTTAAAATTCTTGAACCCCCTTGTATGTTTCAATCTTCACAACAGGGCACTGAACATTGATACCCTGGGAAGTGAAGTTCTCGGTTCGCTCTTCACCCTTTACGGAGAAGGCGCGCCTATGAAAAAGGCGGGTGAGATGGAACTTGTGCTGGTCGAGAGTGACCGGTGACCTGGAGCTCGTGCTCTGGACACGGCTACTCAGTGAGGATTACAGCAAAGTCACCCCCAGAGTAAGTCGCTCTTGTAGCACTACCCGAAACACGCCTCAATTGTTGGAATAGCTCCTCTCCAGTCGAATGCTTGCAGTTAGTAGACTCGTTGAAAAGAGACGGTCTTGGTAGCCCACTCTCACCCGCACGCAGCCCAATCTTTTTTATGGCTCGATCCTTGCTTCTTGTCATTGCTATCAAGCAGCCCGCCGGACAGTGAACCCTCCATTCATTTTCTAATGCGCGTGCAAACCAGTGCTCATTTTAAACAACTTAGAAATCCGGAAGAAGCGTTGGGCTCAAACGGTCGATGCGCACGCAACATTAATTGGGTGTAATACTATATGCAAAATACTTGCGGTCACTTCTTGTCTGCACAGCATACATATTAGTGCTCTCCTGAATGTAGGCCTGTCTTGTCTGGAGCGCCTCAATGCATCTCTGACGAGCGATACCTGCAATGATCTGAAGAAGTTACCGACTCGATCATAACTACGCAATCAACTCACATGGGTTGTCAACGGCATCTATCCTTCGCCTTCACATCCACTTTCACTTCTCCGTGTCCTCTGTCTCAACCTCTGCACGTCCCCACTGATGCCGCCTCTGTACTTCCCTCCCGGAGGGCACAAAATCGTCTGTTTTCATTCGAAACGCCATTTTCTGACAACTGATTTCATTCGGACAGTGTGATGCTGTACATATGCATTTGATTTATTACTCGTGACTGATCTATATCATATCGAGTCAGGCTCAGTGTTAAAACCTTGGGCTTGACCGCCTTGATCACAAAAACCATGCCAGTCACATTTTCGCCCACTTCCCTGCGCGCTGAATCCTTCCCTCCAACAGTCGCGTCCACCCCCCTTTCCGCGTCCTCCCTCCTTACCTCCGCCTGTCCCCAACAGTCCCGCTTCTGCGCCTCCCTCCTCCAATCATCCCTCCCAGCCGAATCGCACAACACCATCCCCCAACGAAATGGGCTTGTATACACCATACTTGAAGCATACAACAAGCACAGACACCTCCGCCTCCGCCCGGATGACGTCTGGACTGCCATACTTATCCAATTCAACTTCTTCGTCAATGGACGGAGTGAGAAGCTCCGATCTTTGTTCGTGGCGCATGAGGGGAAGAAAAAGCTCGTCGTAATCGCATCGGGGAATCGTTATGCTGTCGATTTCGGTGCGATGGCGAAGAATATGACGCGGGAATTGGAGAAGAACGTTGTTGATCCGTCTTTGCGTGCATGGATCCTCCCGACGTTCAGCACGACGACTACGACGGATACGATCGTCGCTTCTGCGATCATGATGTCGAGCATGAAGAAGTACTTTGATTACGAATTTTGTCTCGAATGCGGGATTCCGAGCGTTACGCTGGAAGGTGAGAAAGAGGATTGGGAGGATATATTGCAAAGGATCGAGAAGCTGAAGGAATATGGAGTGGAGGCGGTTGGGTGGTATCACTTGCTGCGTCCCGTCCTCGCTCAGTTCGTGTCGGCGTTTGATGATCGGAAGAGCAAGGAGAATAAGGAGTTCTGGGGGAAGGTGTGTCATCGTGACGGGGGCGGGAGCGGGCCACCCTTCCTTGGTGGGTGGGTAACTGCGTTTTGTGCCTTTGATGAGGATGGGAAGTGGCTTGGACACCGCTTCAAAAAAGGAATTGTGGAGGTACGCTCGTTTATTGTTTTCCTGATTTATACCCACCTACTTTGTGTCTAGGCAACGTCCTTACTTGGACTGCCCCCTCACACCTTATCGGCCTCTGATTTTTTCGCGACTTTTACTGATGACGGGAATTGGGATCAAAACGAGCCAACGCTATCCATCGCGGGTGCACGATATCATCTTGTTGATAGCGACGAAATCCCGGTTGGTTGCACGGGTGTGGATGTCCTGGTTGACGACAACGGGGATGAGATTCCGTGCATGATGACTGCCGGTTTGTTTGGAACGGAAATCTCTGGTGATTTGAGAGACACGGTGAGGCCAGTTTCGGGGTGGTGGATGTTTGAGAAAGTAACTGAGCCCGAGGAGAAGACAGATTGAAAAGGCGATGTGTTAGCAGTGGTATTTTGAGCGTTAGCCGCGTTCAGCAATATCTATGTACAGCGGAATGAGGTAAGAATTGTGTTGACCATTATTTAGGTTGGTGTTGTCACGCCAGACCGCACACGTGATTCGCTTTCTCCTCCAACTTGAACTTGTCACTCGGCTTCGCGAACTTCAAACCTACCAACGCTATCGCCCTACAAAAGCCTCTCACACATTCTACCCATTCAACTGACGCCTTCGTGGCTGCACCAATGGCGTACGGATCTCCAGCTTCATTCAGTGAAACTTCGTTTACTCTCTGCCAACACACTGCCGAGCTTGTCCAGTTCGATCGGTCGTTTTCCTACTTCAGAAGTGCTCACAATTTCCACTGAACGCTCAGTGCGCCTCTCCATGGCGTGAAGTCTCTAACCAACCCCAGCTTGACGACGACAGTGAGCTTCCCCAGAGCTCGGCTCGTGATTCCTTCTACGCTACCCATTTTCGTTGGTGCGTGGTAGTGAGTCCAAAAGGCGCGGTTTGTTAGGAAATTTCAACCGGATTGGTGAGGTTTTATGTGAATCAATCTGTCACGACTGCCTACGCCGGCATTTGCAAGGTTTTGCTCCCAGAGTTGTCTTGATTTGAGCATGGACCCGCATACATCATAACGCGCCTTCAAATCGGAACTCGGGCTTCGCAAATTAGCTATAAACGATGGCTACGCGTAACCTACCGAATCTCCGCGGCCGATGGCACAGGATCCTTTTACGACAGTTGAGTTTCCAGCTCCTTACTTATCTATATTCTCATACCGCTCAGCTTTCTCGTGCTTTGCTTGACGAACTTGCCCCTGGCATTTTAAGAGAATTGCACACGTGCACAGGCGTTCTCCAATCTCCCCTCGCCTGCACACGCCGTGGCGACTGAAATGATTCACCTCTCTCGCTGCTCGTCATTTGCTAATATCTTTCCCGTCCCAAAAAAACGGCTAGCGGAATTTCCAGCCACCCTCAGGCTCCGTCTTCTTTTATGAGCCTCCATTTCAATCAGTCCGACTCTCGTAGTTCCCTTGTCACCACGCTGAGTGATGCCCCAACCATCATGGAGGAAAAGCTCGGCTTAACGCCTACAAGAAAACGTCTTGTTCCTCGTCATGATATCATCTTGGAGAAATTAAAGAAATTTTGGGAGTCTAGCTCTGCGATGTCCTCGCTTCGGGATTCAGCTTGAGAACGGGGACAGGAGAATAACCACGCATATATAGGCCCCTTGCAAGGGCAAGGAAAATGACGCTAACAGGGCAGAATGGTGTTCGAAGTTGCTGAAGTACGTTGTCCTGGCAACAATGTACTGCCCTGTCGACGATTACCCATGCTAAAAAATCTATCAAGCTGTCGTGTTGCTCAGTTTTCCGTCCGTTGAGATGTTGAAGTGCCGTGCGGTCAATGGATAAAAACGGTTCCAGTAAGTTTCCCATAACCTTCATGAACATATGTTTAACTCCTTTCCTAGGACGCGCCGAGTCCGAGCTCCGGAAAGCCTACGTATTGCAATTTGCAAATTGGTCGTAGTCTTCCCTGTTGTGAGGCATCGTCTTCATCATTCCACCCCACTGTTCTTTGTTCAATTCTTGCTCATTACTCGGATATCTAGAGCGCAATTCCTGACACTGAATGGGTCCTCGCGAGCTTGCGAAGAAGGTGTTTGGGGAAGATAATTCTTACACCGCCCCAATTACTTAAACCGGTTCTGCGTAGGTTCTCGGAATCAGATGCAGCTTTCTGTTTGCAATCTCATACGGGGAACTGCTGACCTCTGGATGTGGTTTGAAGCATAGACTTGCACGCGGCGTTGGACCTGCTAACAACGCCGCTTCCAACGTTGCGCGACAATGCCCCTCGCCCGTCCTTTTTGCTTTGTTGGCCATCTCACAGCGGGTGATATATTTTGCCGCGGGTTATTTAGAACAATAAACCTACGATGTTGTTCAGACAGGTAAAGCCTCAAAGCGTTTAGGCATTGTGAAATGCGATATAAAACGACGACGCATGCCCTTCTCTAAACTAAGTACAGTCGCAAACTCCTTCGCAACTACCCACAACTTCACAAACGGATTCCTTCTCTACCATCTCTGCCTCCACCGATTCTATCCCCACAAACTACGAAGGTGGTGGGTCGGGCAAAAATGCTTATTGCAGCATCGCTTGGGCGGAGTCACTCCAGTATCAAGCCAGGTTACATTATTGGTACGTCACCGCTATGCCTTGTGTCGTGTGTGTTCGTTTTTGCTGACAGATTCTTTATACAGAACGGCATCTGAATTTTACGCTATATGGAAATAAGTATCGCACTTCATCTTGATTAATTATGGTGTTTAGGTTGGGATGAGGATTGTGAGGGGTCTTTCTACCCCTGGAGGAGATATTTATGAACTTCGGATTCATTCGCGGAAATAATTATTGTACGATAATCCGATATTTGGTTGACTTTCTGAATCACTCTGCAATCACTCTGTGCTTGTAAAACTTGGCTTGTTCGGAAAACAGGTACAATAAATAATCAAGCAGTTCGTGACCCAAGGTTTAGTAATGGCTTCATAGTTGGTGGAAGGGTTGAAGCTCTACCTCTTTTTATCGTGGGCGAGCCGGCTGAAGCAAGTCTTGCTTCGACTTGCCTCGCAAAGAGATCGCTGAATAAGTATGTGGGCTCAGCGTTCTTTGTGCAGAAAAATGCCAAAACGGACGCACGGCATGACGGATAAAACACTGTTGATCCGAAGGCCTCTGGTCTATGGGCTAGGGTGTTTGTAGTAATTGGATGTTTCCGCGGCGGAAAATATGAAATGTTCTGGTTCTTCTTGAAGTCGAACCGGAGCTTGCCTTTTGCACTGGCATAGAAGAAAGGTCAATTAATCATTCAATTGGAGGGCTACAGGGTCGAAGAACATTTACATGCCAGGCGTGTAGAGCATTGCAGAGCACGACCAATCTCGTGGTGCCCTGCGCTCAGCTGCAAGTTGATCCGGTGTAAGGCTGTATCTTTGGCGTTTTGCAAATCTACAGCAGTATCGGATGATGCCAGGATGAAACAAGGTTGAAAGGTCACTTTCCTCAAGTTACAGTTGGTCATTTTCGCAAGTAAGAGCGAGCATCTAGTAGGTTCCGGACTCCTGTTTTGGTCGTTGGTTGATACTGACGTTGCAAGTTGAAGATGCTGTGAGTCACACCGCAAACCACCATGCCGACACAGCCACCGCGAGGGGTCGTGATGAGAGCGCTCACTTGAAAAGGTTGTATATAAAATGAGGGATTGACCCAAGATTGACCGCGTTCATCACGATATCGATAACAAAAATACACGTTTGGTATAGTTCCATTTGACCCTCAGTGTTCTACAAAAACTTTCGCCTTCAAATCAGCTGCACATGTACATGCCACAACGTGTTCTGAGAACATTTCATCAGATAACAACCAACCACAATGAGAGAGCGATATACTACATACCTAGCAAGCCGACACGACTTCCTTTAGATGGGGAAAGGGGTAATACGCCAGTGTTGGCCACTGTGATTTCCATCCCCCAAGAACGGCACCTTGCTATCGCTATACACATCCAAGTGTAAGTCGCTTCCCGAATAACTATTCGTCAGCCTATAGGTGCCATCGCCCCACGGCGTCACCGTCCAAATCTGCCCCGAATAATTCCCAGCAGCCGCCAAGTGCGGCTTGGTCTTATCGTCGCCATATACATCCAAACGCTTCCCTTCTCCGAGGAACTGAGTGAAAAGCGCGTATGTGGACGTAGATCCAGCTGGGTTGGGCTGGAAACGCCAGTACTGGCCAGAGAAGTTCCCCGTAGCTGCCATCTGCAATGTGCCAGACGAGTTGGGGCCGTTGTCATTAACGACGTCCAAGGACAGGGCTTCACCCGTGTATAAGTTGGTGAGGCGGTACCATTTCGTGGGTGATGGGTAGAATGCCATTGTAAGAAGCTGCTCCTGTCCCGTGGGCAGTGAGGCATCTTATAGGCGGGCTCTTGCCTCGTGATGGGCACATCACCTCCGTTCAAGACGCATTCGTCTTCATTATCATCACATGTTACACATTGTGGCTGAACAGATGACAACGCCAACATATGATTGACTCTTATCAATGAATACGAACAAGCAAGCTGTCAAGGAACTTGCCTAATTTCCCAAGGTTCAAAACTTTCTGATAAGAAGATCGAGGCGGCAGGGGAAGAATTGGAAAACGCCTAACCATCGAGGTACCACGAACGTGGAGGGTGAACGCCACGACGACGTTCGGAATGTACGGTTTAAAAACCCTTCCGAAATCCCCTTGTTTCCCTACGTCAACTTTTTGCAGCTTACTCTTGACTGCGGTCTCAGAGAACTGATTGACTCACCACCATCGATAACCTATGGTCCCCTTGGTATGGACAGCGGACCGGGCTGTGGATGGTGGGCCGGACTCATACCAGAGTAACGGACAACTGGCAATTCGAAGGAAGTAGAGTGCAGATGTCGTCACGATCGCCTTGTCTCTACAACGCGCCGTAAGTTTTGACCACGTTGAGCCAGAAGCGTCCCATTCGGAAGATAGTTTGCCGATATCGTAGTGACCATTGCAGAAGAAAATCTTGCCGTACATGGTGGTATCAATTCAAATCCCCCGCCAAAGATTATTGAGGTCCTTGCGAAAGGGAATATCCCTCCAACAATGTCGCAAGCCATCACCTGAAAAATGAAGAATGAATCCTGGTAAGCAAGTCGCAGAATCTGAACCTTAGGAGAACTTGAAGGTCGAAGAAAAGAAGTTACTGCGCGGATACCGTGAGGGTTTTGAAACGAAGGCAAGAACGACAAAGCACGGAGAAGTATCCAAAAAACAGTCCCTGTAAAGAGTCTAGCACAAGAGTGTCCACAAAAAATCCGTAGAGCCTGAGGAATGAAATGTACAATGCAGAAGAAAAACACCTCAAGTCCAACTCGAAAGTGTTCGTTTCGAGTATCGCCACCCACGCCCTGGTTATTAGCCACAATTGAAGTAATTTCCGGGAATAACAGCAGGGCACCCCGAAGTGTCTAGAAAATCACGTTGAAGGGCCTTGATCCAGTGGTTAACATTGAAGTTCAGACGATGAACTCACCCATAGTGACAGGACAATCTCCTGGATCGATACAACATCTAATGCAAGCGCGTGGCCCGCGAGGTTCGAGGAGCTCCACGTAATGATTATATCTGCCCAAACACGTTAGCTCCCCAAATAGTGGAAATAGACGAAGGAGAAGGAAGGTGATGCACCCAGTGCATACGCTATCCCGTGGATTTCCCAATCCGCCATCACCGCCGCTAGAATCGTATTGCCCACCTGCGTCGTCGGGGTTAATTCTATCTAGCGTACCTGCGTTGATGCATCCCGTCACTAAGTAGTTTCGAATCGCCCCAAAGTAAGTAAAGTTAGAAATCAAGGGATGAATATGAATGTGGAACATGAGGCGTACGCTGAACGAAAACCTGCCCGTTAACCCCCGTCTTGCTCACGAACTCGACGTTAGACCAGAAATTGGAGGCGAGGTCTCCTTGAAGCGGTGAGGTTTTGGCTTTGGCGGAACAATAAACCGTTTCGCCGCCTGGGTATTCGCTGTCCCCGACGTTGGTGTGTGCGTCCCTGTCGAGAACAATATTAACGGTGTGGAGTAGGATGCGTACCAAAGATGAAACATACTTGGGAACGACGAGGCTGGGAGCTGGTTAGTACGAAACGAGGGGATGTCAGGGAGCATACCAGAAGTTATCGGTCCCGGCGACGACGACGGTGTTATCAGGCATGGTCGTCTTTCCTTGACGAGGAAGTATCGCCGCTTGTACTATGGGAGCGCATAAAAGTGCACTCAGCAGTATCTGGAAATGTGGTGCAGACGACTTCATTGTGCGGGCAAGTAGAAGTGACACGCCGACGACGGATCTTGCGCTTTATAGAGCCATGCCATGTGCAACCTGTGCTGACCTGCACGTCAACGTTGTAAACCTCGAGGCGAGCTTGGTCTTGGAGAATAGCTTGGCAATTGAGGAATGGTATGCGGAGAACATAAGTCGTGGAGCCATGCCAATGACGTTGCAGATACTTGTCAATTTCTTGCTAAGTAGAAGCCTTGGATTATTTTTAGATCAGATCACATCTGACCTCGGAGGAAGAGCTAGGAAGAGGCGCACTTTATTCTCGCCTAAAAGCTTGTCTCGTGCCAAGTTGCCAGGGGATTAGTTGAGCCTGTTCCTGAAACTCCGCAGATTAAATCGACTAGTAAAATAGGGGTACAAACATTTCGTGATGCTACAAGATGTACACGTTATAATATTACAATTGGAGAACCATTCAAATGCCACGATACCTAGAGGATGATGTCTATGTATTCGTATCTGCACGAAAACCGAGAGGAAAGTAAGGTCACAAGAGAGATAGTAGTGATCGGGCGTTTCGATGACGGTGGTTGCCCTACGATATGGCTGCTGGGGGCGCGGATGCAAGGTCCGTGTGTTTTGCTGGTCTAACGAGGAAGAGGCGCGCAAGGGAACCAGGAAAGGGAGTCGAAATTAGTTACAACGTTCAGATCGGTATGCCGTCCAACCTGTGGCACGAGATCAGGTCCAGTGACAGATCGCATGGGTATTCTGACTCACCACTGTTCTGCAGGAACTTATCCATCGCCGAGAACGCACATCGCCTAATTTCCCTCTCCAACAACCAAACATCGTCGCACTGGGCCACACAACAGTCGTGCAAAACGCAGATGGCGTCAAGGAACCATGTCCGTGAACAGAACTCGCTCACGCCCGCCGAGCCAGGGGGTGGAATGGCAACGGACTTGAACATCGGTAATAGACTGTCGTCGCCGACGATGTCTTCGTAGCCCCCCAAGAAGCTGACGTTGGCGAGGCGCACGATGGCGACGACATGTGGTGAGGAGACGACATCCTTGACCTCCATCTCAAACTTCCACTCCCGCACCGCATTGTCGACAACGTGGAATAAGGTCCCGCTGCTGCCGATTGGGGTTACAGCTGGATTGGGGACGAAGAAGGACCAGTTCCAAGAGGCGAGTTCCCCGCGGTAGGTGAGGACGGCGTAAAGGAGGCCAGGCTCGAGTTCGTCGCCGTGCAGCGGGTACGTGGCGTTTGGTGAGCTGGGTGAGCCGGGTATGGTGGCCATTTCTGGCTGTGGGTTGTTTGGCGGTGAAGAAATCGTCGTGATCGTGGTTGAAGAAGCTGTTTCGAATTGCAAGCTGGAACAGGCCCGTACTCCCGAATATGGCTACATCCGATGTCCGGTGCTTTCGGAAACACCAATTGGCGGACGCTAAGTGCTGATAAGAGGCAATGAACTATTTGATTGTCGCGAGACCAATAGGGGCTCGGATTCAACTTTAAGGAGGGCGGGGCAATAAGAAAAAACAATCTTTTAGCTTCAAGTCAGGTTCAAGTTCAACGTGTATTTTTAAGTAAGTCTTCACGTGACCCTATTCTACAAGGAAGTTGAAAACAAATTCAGGCGGTACGGCTTGTCGTTACTTCTGCAATATTCGCCTCCTGTTGAGCGCAATCACAGATACTTATATGGGAGGTTTGTTGATATCTCTAATATTAGTACACCGGAAAGTACTTGAGTACAGTATACTACCTCACTGTAGTCGGTCATCTGTTGAGCGGAACGCAGTGGGGACATGGGAACTGGGGTTCGAATCCCCAAGAGATTTCCGTTGGGAACATAATTTTTCGCCCGACTGTAAGCTGTAAAAATTGCGGATTCCGCCCTCCTACCCTCAAGGGGATCCCATCATCCTCCCTCCCCTTCAAACTCGACGAAATATATCTTTACTAGTACTGATAAACCGGCAAGCCACGCCTATTTGGGGTGGTTGCAAGGTGGATGATATAAAATGTGGATGGTAACGAATTTTCATCTCCTGCGTCGCCCAAGCGTCGCCGATTTCTGCTCATGCCTCCTGAGTGTAGGCCCATACCCAAGGTATTTCCGAACCCTTCCAAGCGGTAAACGAGGAACAAAATAAATCCTACCGTAGCACAGTCAACAAATTTTCTTTAACGATCAGAATCTCATCTACTACAGCGGTAATTAAACCTCCTCACCCCTACATACTTAGAATATATTCATTCAGGCCATCTTCTTTTTCCTAATATCTCTTTCGCTGCTAATTAGCAACATGTTTTTCGTCGACAACGCACTTGACTGAGTACGAAGCATATATCTTCGTTGGTTCAGTGGTAAGCACACTTCCGGACCAAGGCGATCTTCATTGTGGGGGGGTTCGAATCCCTAACGAAGACTTTATATACGTTGTTCCAAACTCAATTTTTTTAGTCCCCATTTCTTACTTGGCGGAATCCTAAAAGCGCTTTTTTGCATCCCTGTTCTCAATATAACGAACAGATACCTTTGTTAGTATGTTGGCCACTCTCCCCTGTTTCAGCGAATTGAGCCAGACCTGGGTTTGACTCCTGGAGATTGAAGGGATGTGAGAACCGAGTGGCAGCGATGCTTTTTGTAAGTACACGGATGTTTTAAAAAATTGTACAGTCTCTGAGCTTTATCAGACCCATCGCCCTGGCAGAACACCCAACGTCTACTTTTTCTTTTCGTCAAGAACGCGCTTGACTTATTGACGAATATGTCTTTGTTAGTACACCGGCAAGTATGCGCCTGCATATGCAAGATGAATCCGTGGCATAGGGAGAGCAATTCGCTCATTTTTGACCTCTTACCAACTCACAGATACATGTCACGTTGGGTAAGTAAAACTAATAGTTAAAATTAAAATGCGTCGAACCTGGAGTCCCCTCCAGGTCCTGACCGTACCAAGGAGAAAAAGGATCCGTTTGTAATGGCCACTCTGCGTATTTCAAATTTACGACAGTAGATAGCTTGGTGTTGTTTGATTCGGAGTGAATGACGGCGCCAGTCAAGTTCCGCTGAGAAACTTTCATCCCAATCCCAGTAAGCGAATCAAGGAATTCATTGAAGTTCTTTGGCTCGCGGCGATTGAAAGAGACGTCAACTCGTTTCAGCATCCCACCCTTTTCAGATTCACTCCGCTTTTGAACCAAAGACCACAATTTCGCTTCGGAAAAACTCGCGCAACGGCTCCCATCGCATTGAAATTCTTCGAGCATAGGGCACAGACAATCGGAATTTTCGCCGGATGGAGTGAGGCGATCAATGACTTCGTCATCGACGACAAATCGACCGGAGTAGTTGGTGATATGGAGGTGGATGAGAAGTGGGACCTATTCGAGGAAAGCAAAAAGTTCATCCCGAGTTAATGAATGGATATCTATAAACAATTGCTTCACAGATCCACCATTACGCAAAAGGAAGTCTACCCACGAGGCCCGACTCGCATCAAATGTGTCGTGGAATTTAATTACAAAATGACCGAGTCTTGGAAGACATCAGTAGAATCACAAAACCACTTTCAGCCGCTTTCACCGCTTTTGAAAGCGTGAAAGCATGAAAGCGTTTCCGCTTTTGGAAGCCCAGTCCCTTTTCTTTCAAAAGCGGTTTCGGCTTTCAAAAGGGACAAAAGGGGCTGCAAGTGGTCCAAAAAGGGACCACGAAAGAGGTACAGCTTTTCAAAAGGTGACTTAAAGAGGGTTTGAAAGAGGGTTCAAAGCGAATAGATTTCTAATATTTGTAAAACAATGGTGCTGATTACTAGAACGACGTGACCCTCCAGTCCATCCTCATCATGATCCGCTAACGCAATATCAAACTGTGGCCTGGAGAACCATCGCCGAAGTAGTCTATCAACGCCGAACACCTTCAATCAGCCCTAGGATATCGGCATGCTTGCCTATGATAGCTTGAGCGGCATATTGCGCTGCAGCTTGTGAGGGGTCCTGGAAGAAGTGGTGTGCCGGACGAGTTTGACGTTGGTCATTTTGTGAGATGCAAGCCTGTTGAGGAGGAGAGGCTGTCGGTTTCGATGGTCGGTATTTCTTCGTCAGCTTTCAAACCAAATCACAAATGAGGAGGACGAACCTACGTGCGATGGTTGGGTATATGCAGGCCGTGAAGCACCTTCACGTGAACTGTGTTGGATGTGAGCACGGATGATGGCCTGGGATGGGTATTAGTTCTGGACTAGAGTAGAGCTCGGAAAAAGGTAGAAGAGGGGTGTGTGACAAAACGAGGGATGGAAATCGCCAGGGGAGAATGGCAGGGATGTGTAGGAGGGAGAAACGTCACAGGCTCCACGTGGGATGATGGGCAAAGAGAAGAAAGAGAAAGGAAGCATAGCGTACCGTTTCCACATTCCCTCACCACCTAAATTCTGCGACTCGCCATGGCATCGAACGCTCGTCAACTTCCAGCACGCCTATGCCCGTTCCTGTACTATCGAGCTCCAATCCAGATGTTGACGACTGGGAAATCTCAGACTCCGATACGAGTGGTATAAGGACGTTGTTCAGCAGAGGTAACAAAGAAAGCCTTACCAAGCCCTCAATAGGCTCGCCGACGAAGCCTGTGTGAGCCCTCTGGCAATGGGGATAACCCTTGAGGACAGCATGTTGTCGGGGGGAGTGGTTGTGGCGGTTGTGGTGGGTGGTGAGCTTTGTGGATTGGCATTATGGTGCCCCCTGTAGCGTTGCTATGAAGGATGGTTGGTTGGCATGCAAGAGACAGCTGCGATTCAAACTGATCGTAAGTGGGAGTGTTTGTCGAGATGAGGAAGAGAACTTACAAAAAGACAGACGTTATAACCCAAGAGTGGACGACGTCGACCACTAATGAAAAAGAATGGGAAGGGAGAGTGGTGCGATGTTCAAGAAAATAGAATTCGACATTATCACATGATGTCGGAGTTCCAACGGACTTTACGAATATTTTGTCCTCACTCTCAAATCCCTCCAATACCTTAGATTCCTCCAACTCTTTTTACGTTAATAAGTATGTAGATCATCATGCACACGAAGTAGCCTTCTAACATATATGTTAATCCACTGTCTAAATTCCTAAAGAGGTGAAAGCTGTTGAAAGCCAGAAAGCTATCACAAAGAGGTCTCAAAGTGGAAATGAAAGCGTCGTGAAAGTGAAAGAGGCCAAAAGTGAAAGTAAAAGCGCTTCTGAAAGTGAAAGAGGCCAAAAGTGAAAGTGAAAGAGCTTGTGATTCTACTGATGGATGAAGATGCTTCAAATGACACTCGTCCCACCTCCCGCTGAGCTTGAGACAAAAGTTTTCGAGAAGGGGAAGAGTCAGCGTGTATTCGGCTAGGGGCATTTCATGATCGGCTTGTTGGACGGCGTCAGATGTTGTGCTTCCGAGACTCAAGCCACAGCTCACAAGCAGTGGGCATCTCCTCAACACTTTGACAACATCGCTATATCTGAGACCCCTCAAAATCCCTATGAATTGGACTGGGCCATCGAGGTCCAAATTGAGGTGGGTTAACTGCGACCAACGCACTGGCAATGAGAGGAGGTCCTCTTTGAGATATGATAAGGACAGCTTCCGCAACTTCCTAGCTGACAGAAGACCTGAGAATTTCGTCCAGCGCCCACTAAAATCTGATGCGAGCGGATCCCATGCGTTTGTCAGAGACACGTCGGCGATGACCAGAGATTCTAGCAGTGGCACATCATCCTCTGAGAGCTGTTGGAGACGAGTAAATGAGGCTTCCGTTGCCCTAAAATCGACTTTTTTCCATCGGTGGCTGGAAGCGAGTATCTGCGCTACTGCAACGTCAAAAGTATTCACGTTGGAGGTTGGCAATGCATGGAAATAGACGTGCATTGGGATGCTGACGGAGATGGAGATGGGGCTCTCCGCCGAACGGCCAATCCATTCCCGTGCCCCCTTGCAGCGCCTCTCCATCTTGGCCATAAATGTGGGATCTGGCTGAGCAAAGACTTGCCCAGTTTCAGCGATCTGCATAGGTGTCGGTATGTGAAGGCTCGCCCAAAGCCGCGGGGTTGATAGTGCGATGGACCTCCACGCGCTACAGATGCGACCCAGCAGAATTGGAGCTTCCTGAGAGCTCATGATGGCATTTCGACCTTCAGGGAGACAATGAGCGAAGATCTCCCCGAGCACGTCGAGCGGTAGTCGCCGAACAGGAGAGATTAGTGCTCGATGAGCCCCGATCTCGTCACTCAGAGCAGAACGCTCATGAAGTAGCTCGTAGAGGATTGATTGCACCCTGTTGATCTCAGCGTCAAGGCTAGATAAACGTTTGAGCGGATCGGTCAAAAATTCCTTGATTTGGGGAATTTCTGATTCCGGAGGGGTATAATTGGTGTGGAGATTGGATGCATACGGTGAATCTATGTGGGTGGTCGCTGTGCATGGCTGTTTTGGGCTGACAGTTGGCGTAATGTTTTGATTCATCGCGACCGAGTCAAAGTGAACGAAGCGATAGTATGGCACTTTGTTATCTTGATTCTTGAAGTGCTTTCCTGAGGCTTAGGAGTGGATGACGGTGATCATGGGGGCGTCGTCCAAGTTCGCGCGTGTTGCAAGAATTCGGTAGTCTCTCGTAGACAGACTTCGATATATGTGAAGTCGTACCTTGGTTCACGATATATGAAGTCTGTTTGTTACCACGCCCCCAAAACCGCGCTAGAAAATGTTTATGTAATCTTCGGACTTTAAAACCGCGTCGCGTCAATATTGCGTCCTTGCCTTTTGCTCTCGACGCGATAACCCATGCATTTCTGTTCCAATTCACATCAAACTTGATATTCTACATCTTGTATGATCTCCAATCTATTATGACGACTCAATGACAGCTCGACAACCCCGCCAGAAGAACGTGATACGATCAATACCATTGTGAAGAAACCCATACCGAATTGGACGAACGGACTGGATGCGATCCAACTTGAGCTCGTTTCCGCTATTCTGGATGGAAAAGGTTTGCTTTGCTGTACCGCAGCTGGAGATGGAGAGTCGGCGGCCTCTCAATACCAACTCTTGTGCTACAACAAACACCTGAACGCGCATGTACCTGGCCTTCAAACTCGGAAGAGACCAATCGGAGTGGTAGTCACACCAACCAAGGGACTGACAGATAACATAGTACGCTTATTTTCCATCTTTTGTTGTTACACTCACAAATTTCGGGCTAGGTTCACGAGCTTTCACAAAACTTCTCATCATCTCCGGATTCTCTTACTGCAAAGAAGCCCTGTTTGAGGCGCCGCTTCCTTGTAATCAAGCACCATTTTTGCGTGAGGCAGCCATAGACTCGGTGAGATAGCAAGAAACAGGCGCGCGCATCTTGTACTTCTCACAAAGTTAAGCAATGCTAAATTTCCCCAAGTCTTCCAAGTAACCAGTCTAACGCTATCCTCTGGGCGTCGGCCATTAGTGGATGCACGAAGCTGAGTGTCGTCGTCTTTAATGGTGATGAGATTGGTTACCCAAGTAAACAATGAAGGACGCGCATGGTTGATAGCCGCAGGCGAGATGGAGGGCGAGAATGAGGTGTAATGTTCGTGATATTATGTAGATCTCGGCGACGGGGCACTGTGCTTGTGAGAATATTTGAGGCTGATAATTTCGAACATTTTCGTCATTGTTTTTCCTTGAAGGAATTGAATATTGAGCGACGGCCAGAACAGGATCTCCAGAAAACCTCGGATAGAGTCAATCCCCGAGTTGCCTAGAAACCCTTACATTCGTTTAAACCTTCCCTCTAGCTTCGCCTTTTCATTTCGTTGAGGCTGAATTAACCTTGGTTGACTCGATGGGCCAAGCGCGTTGAACGGAGAACCGGGGGCAGCCAAGGAATTAGCGGATAACGAGGCCGAAAGACAATCAGGAAACAATGTGAGGAGTGATTTTACTGCAGGACTTGTGGAAATTGGTGTAGATTGTGATATGTTGGCGAAATGCAATTGGGTGTTGCTGGTACTTGAATTGCAGAGTTTTCCTGCACGACCGGACAATTCGAGCGTTGTTATCCATAGTAAGTATTAGTTGGAAGAAACTACAGTTGAATTTGAGGAGATAGGACAAGTCATGCGCCAAAAAACGCGTCGAGAGTCCACGGCAACCAAAGGGCAACGAGGCGATGTTGACGCGACGCGGTTTCAAAGTCCGAAGATTACATAAACATTTTCTAGCGCGGTTTTGGGGGCGCGGTAAACACAGGACTAAGAATTCGGTATCAATTGTAACACGTGTCAGCCAAAAAGGTGACCATAATCTCAAATTACTACTAGTAATTAGCAGTTTACTTTATAACCACGTACAATATAGTCTCTCCTAGACAGATTTCGATACATGTGAAGTCGTACCTTGGTTCACGATGTATGAAGTCTGTTTGTTACTGCCCTTTGCATATATGATTGAACGCTCGAATTTTTTCTCACTATTTGTCCTGGCGAAATATGATGACAAATTTTGCCAAATTAGGCAAAGATGGGTAGGGAACAACGTTCTGAGAATACTTAAGTATACCATCCACAAGCTCTCTCAATGCATTCTGGCCATGAACAACATTAAAAAAAGCTCTGTCATTCTTAGAATATAATTAAGTGACAAGAATATTTATCCCTGCCTTCATTCATGAGAATCTTTTCCCCAATCCTCTTTAAATTTGCCCAGACCTCATTCAGGTAGATACTGGGTTGCTAGTTCTGAACGACTGTCAAGAAATGCGAGATATTTGTATTCTCAGCCTCCTGGGGTATTTATTATAAAACATTGTAAAGGGATGCTTAGGGATCAGTAGATTGACCATAAGTATAGCTACTCAAGCTACTGCCAATGTACCAGATCAATAGCCTAAAAACTCATCAAGCTTTGTGTAAGAATACCCATAACCCTGAGGCCACTTCACCACGTCGTCTCTCAGATCTTTGCAGAGGGCGAGAGCCAGAGACGGACGAGACCTTCGTCTGTCGGGTTAATTTGGCAACATTTGTCATCATATTTGGCCAGGACAAATAGTGAGAAGAAATACAAACATTCAATCATATATGCAAAGGCCCCTTTTTCAGATCAAAATATTATTTACACCGCTTATTAGATGGCCACAAATATTCACATTACACGAAATATTCTTGATAAGTGGGAAGAAAAATGGAGCTATGTGGTGCCTGTCCGATATTCAACAGAGACCAGGATTCATGGTTAGATGGCACTTTAAGCCTGACAAGAGATGGTCCCATCCGAGCAGGAAAATATTCCAAACAGACGGGGCTCCCTTGATACCTGAAAAAACTTCATTGTACACGGCACTTCATGGTAACACGAACTTAAATAGACACGGTACTTCATAAGTTGAAATCATACTTATAAGTGTCGCATCTCAGCTTAACTTTTAACATAGCCTGCACGGGGTAGATCAGAAGCACATGACAGAAAAATCATTACAAGTATTGTTGACTCCAGGTTGACTCCACTTGTTACTCTCCTGGCTTCGCTGGGGCTTCAGCACCATGCGACAGGCACTCTGGTATTGCCAAGTCCCTTCGCGGGTGTTTGCTTCGGCACAGCTGTGGGAGTTTCGATGACAGCCCTTCAGCACGACCAGCTTCACCATCTCCAGTGAGTACTGTTTTACTAGCTGCAACAAGCCAAACTGACATGCGAAACAAACAAGGGAATGATAACACATACACGAGGATTCAACGTGTAGACACCACTGAAAGGACTCAGGAGTGCGGGGAACAGACACATACATTATGGTGAGGTGGACATACTGAACGATGAAGGTACATCAGTACGCCTCCATAGGTTAACATTACATGACTGACTTCAACAGATCTTCGCACCGCCGTCCTCCACTTGACAAACATGCCAAACGATTCACTACATGGCTTGAAGCTACAATCGTGTATACCGGCCGTGGGAGTGGTACCTACCACTTTTATGATAAAATTTGGGCAAGTGCCTGCACAACTTTTTGGACACTGCCCAGGTTTTTTATGAAATGAGAAATGTAGGGCAAGCATTATGAAATGTGTTTCATTCCCTCCCATAGTGTTTCATATCTATCTCATTCCTTCTCTATACTTTTTCATACCTATTTCTTTTCTACCTGGCCATTCATTTCATTTATTTCTTTTCTACCCAATGAGCAATTTCATTGCTTCCCCAGGATTATTTCTTTCCTACCCAGTAATTTCTTATTGTTGCCTAGCTATTTCATTTCATAGTTGTAAATATCTTCCTGGGACTTGATTATGTAATACATGTGATGCCTTGTAAAATGTCTTTACCTTGCTTATCCCTTTGCACCCTTATCATATTATGGTCTCAAATTGAAAGTTATGTAGAAATGGGGCCCACACCCTCTACTAGCAAGCATAACAAATATTGTACTCATTTGACAATTAAAGCCATGTTATTTCATATAATTAATTAAATATGTATTGCCCTGGCAAGAATGAAATAAAAGAATGAAACCATTACCAGGCAAACAGGAAATGAAATAGCTAGGCAGCAATAAGAAATTGCTGGGTAAGAAAGAAATAACCCTGGGGAGGCAATGAAATGAAAGGCTAGGCAACAAAGAAACAGGAAAGAAATGGGACTGAGGGGCAATGAAATAAATGGCCAGGTAAAAAAGAAATAGTTATGAAAAAGTATAGGGAAGGAATAAAATAGATATGAAACAGCTATGGGAGGGAATGAAACACATTTCATAATGCTTGCCCTACATTTCTCATTTCATAAAAAACCTAGGCAGTGTCCAAAAAGTTGTGCAGGCACTTGCCCAGACTTTTTCATAAACAATGGTTGATACTAGTGGCTGTGGGGCCAAAACCTCGAAAGGAAAGGGTGGCCTCTTGCTGAGACAAGGTGTAAGTGCACACCTTGACCATCAGAGCTACAAACATTGACTAACCTTCTTCAAGCAGAAGAGTGGGTGCGCGAGGTGTTGCGCACCTCTTGAGGACTCCGTTGACGACAACAAGTAATGACATGTAGATACAAAGAGCCTCTCCGATATCTTTCGCCGACTTGTCCTACCTTGCCAACAACACTGGCAGGTCTCTACTACATGAAGCCGCATCCCAGAAGGACCTCCACTTGATTGAGCTGGCAGTGCTGGGGCTGACATATGTATTCGGAATCGCAAGGGAAATTTGGCGCATGACAGCTGGAAAGGACAATCACGTCCACATGTTCTTTAACTGATGTAAGGTCCATATCACTTGTTGCAACTCACACTGACGAATCTCCAGTTGCAAACCATGATACAGCCCTCCTCTTAATTCCACACCAGCTTCCATATGTGTAGCTACGCAACGTCATATATAAATCGTATGTATTATGAATGGTGAAGCCCACTTCAGTTCGGTTGTTCACCAATTGCTAATAAATATGACTGTTTGCACTTTTCATGCATCTCCTGATACATGGCTGAAATATTTGCAGCATACACATTGGCACCCAAAATAGATGGTTCTTCTGATACCTGGATGGTTTGAGACCATGCTCTTGACATGGCAGCAAAAGATCGGAGGGTTCGTTCAAATTCTTCCTTCAAAATGTTGACTTCCTCACGGTGACGATCACGCAAGGCTTGCTGATGAAACCATCAGACGCGATCCACTGAGAATCTAGGTGAGCCACATGTAAATCAATCAGAACATAAAACGAACCTTCAAGCATCCATTCCTGCATTTCCTTGTCTGTGGCATTACCAACTGGTCGCATGGTCCAATACCATGGTTCCAAACCTTCAGAATGACGGGTACATGAAGTGTTGAAGCTATACATCCAAAGATCGTCTTTCGTTGACAGGGGCTGAAAGGTGCTGTCATTGGCAGAGAGCCCAAGTAGGAGAAGTTGTTTGTGAATGAAATTGTACCGATTTGCATGTGCGAGCATAAGATTTTGTGCATGCTTGAGAATTCCCTGTGCACGTGTGTTTGCTCCCTGATTGCGGATAACCTCATCCTTCAGTTGGAGGTAGGCCTTTTTGTGCTTGATGTGTTCACGAACAGCTGCCAAGGCATCATGGGCCAGCCCCTCAAGCAGGGACTTTTCGATCTGGGCAAATGAGTCAAGACAAAGTCGTTCCTGATCCCCCTGGTCAAAGTCAGAAGGTAGTCCCAAATCTTGATCCTCAGGATTCTCAGCGAGTTCCGGTTCATCACTAGTGGACAATGTCAGCATGTACGCCACTTGAACATTTCGCCATTTGTCGATCTCAGCATGCAAAGAGCAACGCAATGCTTCAATTGACGATCACATGGTCTTCTTTGTTGATTTTGTAAGAATTGCATCATTCTCCCTCAGTTCTTCCTGTCGGAGAAGGATGTTTCATCTTGTACAAAGTTCGTGAGGGAAAACATTGGGTAAAAATTGATCAACTTACTAACGAAGCAACAAAGTGATTCCACCGTTAATAAATGCAGTGCTGCCTTGCTTTATAGAGTTGGTCGCAGTGGGAAGTGATACTTCTCCAACCTCTGCCTTTGCGGCGCTCACCTCACATTCTATCAAAGATTCCGTCGCTTGGCTATGTGTTGGAACTATGATAATTTGAAGAAGTAGTAAGTAAACAGTCGTCAGATTTAGTCCACCACTTACATTTTCCAGATTTATAGCAGAATACACTCTGCCATTGTTTTTTTGCACCCTGCATTGGTTGGGTGGATAGCTTTGCCCATTCTGAGCAGAGCTCCTCAGAAATTGCCTCATTTGCAAGATCAAAATTTTCAGTGACTTCCCTGAGTTCCCTATACTCTTCGACAAGTTGGCCACATAGGTAATCACCTGATTGTATAAAAACAATTCAAAAGATACATCTGGCATGTCAAGTATGGATGGCTTACCCATTTTCTGAATTTTCATCCAATTCCAGAAGCCATGGAATTCATCAAGCATGTCATGACGATGTCCTGCATTCATCTCCTGTGTACTTCCACCTGCTTGATTTCCCTCTGACCATGGATGTTCAACTGTTTCTCCATGTGTCCTCCCAACGCCTTCTGCATATGCAAGTGCATAATGAAATTGGCAGTCTTCCTTGTGTGCGAGAAGATGCATAGATGGGACATACACATCAATTTTGGAAGCAATGTCAACAAGATGCCTGAAATAGCTTTTCATACGTTTCACGAAATTGATGGAGTACTGGCAAGCGACATCATAAGTAAGTGTGGTCCAGAGCTCAGGAGGTACACCAGATAGGGTGTTAGCGACCACCGCCGACAGCATAGTCAACATGTGAGTACCTATTGAATGATGTGAGTAATTGGTACATGGTTGCAGAATGATATGATGTACCACTCTCCAACATAGAGATCAACCATTGCCCCTGGATGGAAGATGGCGTAGCGAGCACAAACGACTGCTACAATCCCAGTGACATCAACTCCCTTCTGTTGGGTAAGACATCTCATGTCTCCTGCTTTGAACCCACTACATGTATCTGGCTAGCCTTTTTTCAGCATTATCCACACTCAAAAAATTCACACCTACTGGTTTATCATAGTCAACAGGCTTATCCCTTTCAATCTTACAAATATATTCTCGAAATTTGGTTTCATTTGTGAAGTATCCGTGACCAGCATTCAGGGAAAAATCGTCAGGATCATTGACTTTGGCCTTTCACTGTAACCGAAAGTTTCCATCCATAGCTAAGAATAGCCAATGGATATATCTTGTCAGAAGTTAATTTAGTAAATAGGAGGAAATATTAGTAGGGACCTACACAAGCTCTTTTGGAGTTGATTTCCAGTCTGGTGCCATATTGAAACCAGGATCCGGGCATGCGACACAGCTTGCTCCCAGTGTTCCAGGACTTTGATGAGGCAAAAATTGATCCAAGCTATGGCCATGGCCACTTTGCTTCATTGACATAAGATGGCGCCAGATGCGTGCGCTCAACACCTGGGATGCTAAGAAGTCAAATTCAAAGAAGATCAGTAAGTGTCACAAGAATGGGAGAAAAAGTATTCAAAGATCACAATCCCCGATCCCAACCTTCTCTTCTCCTGTCTTCACTACATCCCCACCATCAACTCTGGCTAGGCTAGTTTCTGATGTGGAGAGTGTTGCAAGTTGCGAATAGTGCTTGGAAGTCCAGTCCCAAGACTGAAAAAAGACTGAGACTGGACTGGACCGAGACTGCCCAAGACTGGAAATTCCCAGGACCGTCGAAGACTGCAACCGCGGTCTGGTCTTCAGTCTCTCACAATCTCGGAAATTTCAAGACCGACAAAAGACTGGTCTAACTGGTCTTAACTGGTCTTTAGCGGAATTCGTAACCAAACAAACAAAACTCGTAGCTGGTTACTGAATACAAACACAAACGCTCCCACCACCACCATCCCCACCACTGTCACCACCCTTCATGTCCACCACCTTGCATCTGTGTAGGCCTGCACATCAACCACAAACATCACACGCCAGAGCTCAAGTGTGAGCACCCTCATCCCCTCCCCCTCCATTTTTTAACACCAGAAATAGGTGCCATGTCACTGACGGTGACATGGCAACCACATGACGATGATGGACGACATTGTTCCTCTTGACGAGCGCCCACATCAATGACCTACAACCACGAGTGTGAGCACTCATATCCCCTCCCGCTGCATTTTTTAACATCAGAACCAGGTGCCATGTTGCCGACGACGATGTGGCAACCAAACAACAATGATGGATGTCATCATTCCTCTCGACACCCACTTACATCTCAGAGAGCCCACACCAACGACCCACAACCACCACAGTGAGCACTTATAACCCCCCCTCCCCCTATCTCATTTTCAACACCAGAACCAGATGCCACGTCGCTGACAGCAATGTGGCAACCACACGACCCCTCCGTTTTGTTAAACCAGAACCCCAAACGACGTCTTTCATCTCGGCCTCACTCCCATTTCATGAGCGCCCACATCAACGACCTACAACCACGAGTGTGAGCACTGACAACGCCCAGCAGCCATCGTAACACCCCCAACCACTGCCATGTCACCCCCTCGCTCTCTGCCACCTTCGGCATTGACAACAACATATGACAACGACCACATGACAACGATGGAGACAGGCACACGATGATGACAACGCAAAGTGGCAGCGACAACGGATGAGCTCCCTGCCCCCCCTCAATCACTTTTGTGTAGTACTAGTATATTTAGTAAATTAGATACATATTTTCTTTATGTTAGTAGCTACGAGACCGGTCCTCAACCAGTCCTCAACCAGTTGAGACTGAGACTGGTTGAGACCGGTCTTTCAACCATAAAAAACTGACTAAAACCACACTGAACCGGTTGACATCGGTTCAGTCCAGTTTTTCATGGTTCTTCAAATTGGGAGGACCGGTCCTGGTCTCGGTCTTGTCAATTTTGGACAAAAGACTGGACTGGACCGGACTTCCAAGCACTAGTTGCGAATCAGATTACAAAATCATTGGTATGTCACCCTATCTTCATTGTTGAGCATTGTATTCAGATATGATTAAAGGAGAGATCCGAAACACACCTTCCTCCTCCGAAGCCGTCCCAGACTACAATTCAGATAGTGAAGTCGAAATCATCGGTGTGTTATTGTCTTTGATGTTTGTGAGATTGCGATTGAAATTCAAAACGAAACCAGATTTCCAAAGCGTACCTTTGTCATCTCAAACTCTTCTCGACAGGGAGTTGACCATTTCCAACTCAGACATTGAGGAAATACCTAAAGCTCATGGTAAGTAATCGCAATGAGTATTCAAAGATGCTATAACCCACAAATAACAGATGGCATAGATGTTCTGCTCATCCTATATGTTGCGGTAAGAATGATAACTTTACTCTATTTGTTCTGTGAAACCCACTTGCCATAATCCAGGCAAATGATGCACACTTCTGTTGGTATTCCCCCCTGCATGATGGAGCATTCAGCCCATTTTCCGATTTCACACTGCGAGAGGTGCTTGGCTTCCCAGACAACAGATATGCAATATATGATACTTACCTCAAGGAATTCGTACATTTGCCGTCTTATTGTAGCTTCCAAGTTCAGGCCAGCAAATTCTTCATTCTTCGACAGCTGGATCTTACTGACAAGGATTGTCCAGATGTCACCAATTTCATTCACAAGAGTGACAAAATTTCTTCTTCCAGGCTTACGGCGGGAGCTGCATCACAGGATTTGAAAGGAAAACACAAGGCGTGAGATGAGCGGGATGATATTGTGAAGGAATCTAAGCGCATGAAGAGGGATTGTGTTTTAATGGGTGGACCTGTATGACGATTGGCAGTGTACAATTAGTAAATGCAAGTACCAATTGCCAGATCTCTCCTTTCCGCCATCGTGCTTGAATCTCAAATGTGTACTGTCGAAGTATGTTGTTAATAATGTTTGATTCCTCATGAATGAACCCACCTTAACCAAACCTCTTGGCATTGACGTTGGCGATCGATGTTGATCGCATCGATTACCAAACATCTTGAAGTCGCTGTCCACAACGTCCTTTCCCAGTAGTCCACAACATCCTTGCCCAATACTCACAGCCTTTATACTTGAAATTTTCGTTGGCTATGCTCCATCACCATTCCCAGCAACATGCCCACTCATTGATCGCACATCATGGGGTCAAGATCCAAGAACAACAAATGAACATGTCTCGCATGGACCATTGATCAAGCTTCAAGGTCAGTTGACACTCCATTCATGCTGATTGACATTATTGAATACTGTTAGGCATGAAGCCAAGTTCCCTTCCTTTTCACCATGTCGTCAAAGGAGATTTTGCCTCATATGTTGTCCATTTTCTCGTTTTAAACTATCTAACATCTCGTTACTATCTCAACCAACCATAGCTGCTGATGCATTGGATCCTCACCAGAGAAACTACAAGAAGCTTGCACATCAGCTAGACCAAGGACATTTTGATGGTCTAAGGTGCAAAACCAATTCAGTCCCCCTGATCTAGAGAACTAACCCTATCCAGTGATCCCAACAGCAATCAGTGAGCAACTGTTACCTCCTCACTCGGTACCACCGACAATTCGAGAGTTGGAAACGTGCTCATCAACCAACATGCAGCCAAGTCACGTAAGAAGAACCGTGCCCCCTTCCCTTGGTCTGAAGAGCAGCGTGCTTGGATGAAAGGTCATGTTGACCCTTACCTTGAGCTTGACCTGAAGAAACACGACATGTGGTCCAAGCAGAAAGTGGAGGATCTTGTCAACAAGTGGCGGTTCGCCAATGCTGGAGACACTCATCAGGTGAATACAATGTTCATTTGATATGATTTGTTTTCATATTCAATGTGATTCTACAGTGCTTCATCAAATACCTTCAGAATGCTCTAGCCCGCTCGAGGACATCTCAGAAGCAACCACCCATCATCAAGTTTCCCAGAAAGCATGCGGAGAATGCAGCTGACTTGTGGGCCAAGGCTCCAGAGAACAAGATACTCCTTGACACCGCTGTTGCAGAGAAACATGGGGATGCATTGACCAAGAACAATGTTGGCATCCGATCCACACTGAAAGCAGCAATGTTCAAAGCACTATCGTCTAAAGAGCAGGAGCAATGGGAGAAGAAGGCATCAGAGCTGAAGGAAGTCTCTGCTGAAGATAAGGTCAAGTCTATCTGGGAGTGAGTCGCTTTCATTACATTCTTTCAATTTTTTCTGACTTTGCATTGTCAGGAACCAGGAAATTATGGCAGATACTCTTGTCGCCACCCTTGAGGGTTCAATTGGTATGGGCAAAAATCAAGTTGGGGATGCGACGTACCACGTCCAGATGGCGTATCTTGATAAAGAGGGTAATGTTCAATCGACAAGGTGATTTTTTTCTTGAAAAATATGTTCTACTATCGCAATTAACTCAATTGTATCAGTATTTGTTGTGGCATCATGCTCGATGACAAAGCATTCAAAGATGTTGAGCCTGAAACATACACAAGTCTTAGCAAGGCCTGGATCAAGTACGCAACTGAGGCGTTGTTCCGTGAGTTCATTTTATTATGTATCTATACTTCCTGACAGTTTTCTCAGAAAACGACCTACATGTGCACCCCAATAATGAGTTTGCCATCACGCTTGCCAAAGACTCAACCAGAAATCCCATCCTCCCACAGTACGATGACTCATGGGTACGATCTCATTGTGCTGAGGTTTTAGGACATTATTTGGAGGGGGTGTGGAGTAAGTCATCACTTTTTTTTTTCCAATAAACTGATCTTCATTTGGGTGAACAGAATCAACAGGATCGACTGAAGTGATACCTTGGTCTTCACTTCAAGAAGACCCTTCCCATTGGATCATTGATCCTGCAGCCGTACCCAAGACCCCGATTGATGATCCTTGTGTCATCAAGGGAACAACTATATTCAAACTCTACGATGAGCTGTACGACCTCCAAGAGAGATGCATTCCCATTCGGTTCAGAAATCAAGAACTCATGCCTCCCCCATCTACCACTTCCACTCCTGAGGTGGCGGCATCGAGCCCAACCAGGCCTTCAACACCAAAAGTTCTGCCCCCAACCCAGTGTTCCCAAAGAGAGTCGACCCCAAACCAGCCTTCTACACTGACGTCATCGACCTCAACCCAGCCTTCCACTCTGAAGCCATCGGCCACAACTCTGTCTTCCACTCCAAAGTCATTGACGCCAACCCTGTCTTCAACTCTGAAGGCCTCAACCCCAAACCCACCTTCCACTCCAAAGACCTTAACCCCAAACCCACCTTCCACTCCTAAGTTGTCGACCCTAACCCAGCCATCCACTCTGAAGGTGTCGACCCATACCCAGCCTTCCACTTCAACGGCATCAACGAGCCTAGTCCCTTCCACTCCAAAGGCAGCAACCCAACCCCCACCTTTCACTCTGGAGGCGTTGACCCCACTCGCACCTTCTCCAGAGGCTCCACCCCTGCCCCCCTCTCCCAACGCATCGACAACGCCACCCCCGAATTCTACTCTGAATCAGCCAACGTCCACTCCTGAGATGCCGGAACATCCTTTGAAAGGATGGGGTGTTCGAAAGCAGGCTACTGTGACAACAAAGGGGAAGAAGAAACAAGCTGTTAATCTCGGGCTGGGGCAAGAGGACCCACCTCCGTCTCGGAAACGCAAAACAACTGATAATCAAACCATGGAGTCTGCCCCTCCTGTCAAGAAAAGCCACCGTTTGTTGCATGCATCATATGTTCATCCCAGATCTCTCTGGCACACATCTAACATGTGTCTTGACAGACCTGAGAAAGTTCAGATGACAGGAAGGTGGTAGGTAATTATGCTCACGAAATCCTGCTCCCCATCCATTTTTTCTTGAATCCTCACCTCGCATAATATCCTACCTCCAAGAATTCCCCGGCATCAAAGAAGTTCCCACTTCAAATAAATCCTCGCCTCAAATGAATCATAGCTTTGACCTTGCTTTGACTTTGATTCCGTTTCCGAAGAATCCCCACCTCCAATAAATTCCCTCCTAAATAGATTTCCACCTTTGAAGAATCTTCACCTCAATTGTGAAATCCTCACTTTGCATTATTGACTACTTATGTAACCGCTTACTTAGAATTCCCCATAGAATGTTATATCAACTTCCAACACCTACAAAGAATATCCGTCTACAAAGAATATTAGTCTACGAATATTAGTCTATAAGTCACTGCAGGAGTGGGCTTGTTTGCGCTACGGGAAAATTGTAAATAGAAGAAAGATATAATAGAATCTTGTTTCGGGTCAAAGCATCAGATAAAACTGGAAGAAACTTGAAATATATTCTCTCTCTTGTCTAGGGTTTATCTGCTACCCCAAAGTAAGATATATTTTAAAAATATTCTATTTAAGTTTTGAGAAGAAAGGGGGAAGGTATTCATGATATATCCGACAAAAAGGCAGTGCCTGGAAGGTGAATGATAAGTAACGGCCCTGCCGTCGATAAGCTCCAGAATTCCTGTAGATGACGCCGAACAGGAGCTTGACTACCGCTCATCATCGCCACTTCGGCGTCAT